TCCCTCCCAGGTCTCCACGCCCACAGTCGCAAGCACACAGGGCTGCTAACTCCAGGACTTCCCTCCACCCGAAAAGTCAACTCGGAAGGCTCCCTCCCGACCCGACCCGGCAGCCAAGTCTCGGGACTCCAAGGGTTCCAGGCAGCCCGCCGTCCTTCCCCTCTGGCCAGCTTACCTTGCACAAGAAGTCGATATCGTAGAAGGCGGACAGGAGTGTGGTCGACATTTTTTTCTGGGTCCTGTAATGGAGCTGCGAGCAGGGAGGGTTGGGAGGAGCCCTCGGCGCGGCGCAGCGCGGCTCGAACCAAGACGAATAACGGGCGTAGGGGCGGGGAGGGACGGAAAGTTGGCTTGCGGGGCCGCCGAGGAGAAGGAGGAGGAGGAGGCCGCGGTGCGGAGTCGGGGGGCAGAGGAGAAGCGAGAGCGCTGCTCGGCGCCCCGGCCCGCCCCCCGCGCGAGCCGACAGCAGCTCGCTGACTGCTGGAACTCCGAGAGCCGCGAGCGCGCGCCCTATATAGAGCCCGGGAGCCGCGCGGCGGCGGAGCAGAGCGCACCCGGGGAGGGGACTGAGCGCTGACCCGCCGGGGTCTCCAGGCAACGCCTCCCGCCGGCTCGTGGACGTCAGGCGTCTTCTCGGCTTCTCATTGGTCGCCGCCAATTTTTCCTCGGGGAGGGGGCGGGGTGGAGCGGGGCGGGCGTCCGGCTGGCGTGGGGAGCGTGGCCCCTTTGGGTGCTGCTGGGTGGCGGCGGCGGGAAGATCCCGCTCTCCTCCGCCCCTGAGCCTGTAACTTTGGAAAACGCTTTCCCGTTCTATCTGGGCCGGGGCCCGGCTCCCCTAGACGTACCTTTCCCCGCCTGATCCTGCTAGGCCGACTGGCACAGCTTCTTATCTCCCACCCTCTGTTTTGCTCGGCGCGCGGGAATTGCAAAATGCAACAATATTGCAATGATGTGTGTGGCCAGACTGGTTGGCAAAGGGTGCTTGGGTCTGGGGGGTGGGGTGGAG